GAAGGTGGCCTTGCAGGCAAGGCTTTGGGTCAACTTCTGCAAAGTGCTGCCAACAGCAACTATCCACTTAGCCTAACAGGGTCCAGGAGAGGTGATATTGAATATCTGCTCTTTCCTGTGCCTTGAATTGTATTACGATAGGCCTGTTAGGTGGCAGTTATGTCGTTTGATGCCTGAGGAAGGTGAGAAGGGGAAAAAATATCACTGTAAGAGTAAACTAGAAAAATTAGAACTGGGAAAATTCTACAAGGGAAACATAAAATATCATTAAATCAATTTAGATTATTCTGGGAAGAGGTGTATGTGAGGAGGTGGATTGGGATGCTAATAAACAGTGCATACTGGAAGTTTCCAAAGGAGCAGAAACCAGACTCCTTCCAAGAACTGAAGTGATGCATTTAGAGAAATAACACTCTGGGATTGTCATAGGCCACCCTGCCATGTTTACAGCAAGCCATAGTGCCAGAATCCATGTGTTTTCAAATCAATTCTCAAATCCTCTGAATTATCAAGCATTTTATTTGCCTTTAGAGTAGACTCACTTTATACACCATAAACATTTCATTCAGGCATTAAGTTCTGGGCTCTGCCTCTCATTTATTTAGCCCTACTCCTGCAAAGGCAGCCGACTTTCTGCCCACTTTCTTTGACTGAGCCTAGTGCAGTTAAGATAGGATCTCCAGATGCTTGGAGCTAACAACATCTTTTTATGTATCATTTACCCTTTAATTCCTGCTGAGGTTTCAATGCAGATGCCCTGATACTATAGGCAGAATAATGTCCTCAGAGGTGGCTTCATCCCTAAACCTGTGACTGTTACCTTACACATCAAAAGGACTTTGTAAGTGTGTTTAAGGATCTTGAGATGAAGAGGATTACCCTAGATTATCCAGATGGGCCCAATGTAATCACAAAAATCCCTAAAAGATGGAAGAGTAAGGCAGAGGAGACAGAGAAGGTAATGTGATCATTTTCTTCACAGAGGTCAGGCTTCACCTCCTTGGGGAAGCCTATTTTGTCTTTCCTTGTGAAATCAGCTGTCTTATTTGTAGCCTCTCTATGCATTATCTACCACAATCACCACGACAACTGTGGGATGAGTGCGTGTGATTATTCTATTAATGCCTGTGTCCTTCACTAACTCATGAAGGCAGGGACTGAGCCAGATTTTGCTTCCTTCTGAATTCCCAGCACACAGCAGGCACTCAATAAATATTTGTTGAATAAATGAGCGAATGAAAGGGTGAGCAGAATCTAACCCCCCTATGGTTCTGAGTATTCTTTCGTGTGGGTGGAAACACAGCAGTCCATGAGGCACCCCACTGACCAGTTCTTTGCTTCTTGTCTTTGCATCTTGCTCAGACCAGAATATTTATCTTTACATATGGTCTTAATACATTTCTGCTGAGAGAACAGCAGTATCTGTGACTCCAATCAATGGCTCAAGGAGTTTGCAGGGATGGAAATTTTCCTTTTTCTATGTTATGATTTGTATTCAGATTATTCTGATTTAACTCTTGACCCAGCAGCCCCACCGGTGTACAATGATCTCTGTTGTGAGACTGGAGATCTCCCGCAGCTCTTCTCTTCTCTGAGTGTGAAAGACCATCCACTTATTCAAAGACCAAGATCCAGAGCCCAGTTTTGCAATACCCCAGGGGGATCCCATTTCCAAATCATCAGAACAAACTCTATTGAAAATCACTTCAACCTTAGTGCACCCCTGCATTTTATTTTTAAAGGAAGTTGTGAGTGAAGTTACAAAAAATAAATGAGAGCAGTAAATACTAAAACAGCAGCTACACTTGATTCAGACAGTTACTGCATACCAACTACGAGTAAAGCCCTGAAATAAGGTTGGGAGGCACTGTCTTTGTTGGCACACTCTTATTTCCCTCACGTCTCTGAGCACAAGTTCACTTTGACCCTCACAACTTGCCTGGGAGAGCAACAAGGTGTTAATCTCTTTAAGTGCTGAAGTCACAGGTCATTACTCACTCTCTGTTTATCTGGGTGCTTCATCTCTGTCTTCCTGTGCTCCTCATGCTGTCTGACACATAGTAGGCCTGGAGGAGTACTTTTGAAGGAACAAATGAATGCCTGACTTCTTTCTAAAGGGAGATTTTTTTAACTGATTTGCCCAACATTACTCAGTTAGTAAGCAAAGGGCCTTGGATGTGCAGCCTGGTGACCTAATTCCAAGTTCAGCATTCCTTCCTCTCTGCCGTCCATGAAAGAACTCCTAGGCAGGAAGGATAAGGGACAGTGGGGACACACACCATATGAATGTCAGGTCCGTGACGGGAAGTTTAAGTATAATCAGACAAGGAAAAGTGGCACAGAAGAAAGCAAGTTTGACCGAGTTTACCCAGTCAAACAGCAGGAAGAATGTAGCTGGACAATAAAGACAAATAATCCAGCAGTTATGCCTGGAACCTTCCCCTTTCCCCAGCTGTAGCCACATAAACCAGGGAGAGCCCCCAAAACCAAGTGAGTCAGGCACACCCCTGACATGGCAGCCAGTCCAACTGCAGCATTTCATAGCCCTTGGGATGTTTAAAGAAGCAAAACACTTGGAGGATATGAATTCCTGCCCCGTTAAAGAAAGTTTATTTTACAATATTTAACATTTCTTTATTAAAGGTGAACAGACAGGATATAAGCTCTATAAACTTTCCAAGGAGAAGACATTGCTGGCATTCCAAGTGGAGAAATCATTGCCCTGTGGGAGAACCAAGGCTTGCCTATTTCACTTTACAGGTGCCACACATGGCATGTTTTTCTTACAGGATCGTAATGCAGATGGATGAGCTTTTGGACATTAAAATTATAACCGGATTTTTCTTGCTGCCTCATTACCATGCCATTTAAGGAAGAGGTTCATGGTTAATTCTCAGGGTAGGCTTGCCCAAAGCATCTCCTGTATTATGGGCAGGGCCTTGTCCTCAAATTGTACTACATAAGATGTCAGCTGGGGCCTCCCTACCCTTCAGAGATAAGCCTTCCTCCAAGATTTCAGGGCTTGGGGTATGAGTGTCAATGGAGGTTGCTGGTCAAGCCCCTTTCTCTTCCTATCTGACTCTATCAGCACCAGGACCAGCTCACATGTAGGAATGTGGACATATGAGGGTCCGGACACTCAATTTCTATCCACATCCTCGCAAACAAAGCTCCTTGGTGGAGTGGTCCACCGTCTGGAGGAATAACCTAGGTGAGAGTCCTGTGCAGGCCTAGGAAGCCAGATTGGAACCATTTGGACAGAGGATGCCAGTGCCCATGCACCTGGCAGAGCATGAGTTCCAGATGCACACACCCCCAGACTGAGCACACTCCTAACCCCATGGAAAGGGCCATCCTGAGGACAGTCAGACAGGAGTCCTCTGAGGTACTTGGCCCAGGTTGCCTGGATCTGGGCTTGTGCTCATCATATTTAGGTAAAGTTGGTTTAAACTCCCCGCAAAGCCCGAAGCTCCTGTGTAACACTGTCATTGTCTTGGGGATTGAGAATTCAGTGTTCTCCCCTGGTTCACCTCTGGCTGCGTCCTACTCGTTTCATTCCATACCAACCCAAACTTGAAATGTCACCGCTTCACAGTTTCTTAGAAAAAAAAATTCTCATACCTAGCATTTTATTTTTAGTTCACTCTACTGAAGACTTAGATGTTGAAAAGCTCCTTTTATCTCTGCATCCTTCTCTCTCCAAGGAGTGAAGAAAATCCCATTTCTATTGTCATAGAAAGAGTCTAGAGACCATCTTTTAGGGTCGGAATTTTTTGTTGGGATCTTACCCTCCAAATAGAATCCTTTATCAAAGGCTTAAGAAAGATTTTGGGAAGCAAAATGTTCTCCTTATTTATATATGTCCGATCGTGTGCAAACACATACATCATGTCCACTCTCTTCTTCGTGGAAGAGAAACTAATACAAGGAGTCAGCTGCAGCATACTAATGGCAGAACAATAGGCTAAAGTACCCTGGGTACATATTCCTTTGTCCTAAGTCCTGGTTTTTGAGATCTAGGCTGGAGGAGAAATCCCTCCCTGGAACACACATCGTCCTTGCAAAAGAAGGAAATGAGCTGCGTAACCTGACGATGTTTTTGAAAGTTCCTGCTCAGATGTAGCCCACATAACTTTTGCTCACTTTCCATTGGCAAATGCAAGTCATATAGCAAAAGCTGATCTATGGGATGTGTGTGTATAATTCTCTCAAATACATGGAGATTAACTAACTGGGGATAGTAATGGTACAATACCCATCAAATAGTAACCTTCTTACTATCTTCAAGAAGCAGCTAAAAATGTCCTCCCCTCAGTATCATTCCATGGAGACATCTCTCTCCCTTTTTTGTTCTACAGCATTACAACATTGAGACTTTCAGGACAATGTGCTGTTTCCCCTACTACTTAGTGAGCCCTTTGAGGGCAGTGATAATCTCTTATTTTATTCTATCTTCCCATTACTTAGAACAGTCCATGGAACCTAGTACATTGTGCTATTATTGCTTACTTAGGGGAAAAAAAGTGGTGCAACAATGCACGGAATCAGTCTTGAAATCCAAGGAATAGTAAGAGAAAGTTATAAAGGGGGAGAGGGAGAAAGACCAAAAACTGATTTTTGCACTTTTAAGTTGAGATGTATGTGTGTGTATATATATATAATAGATATACAATACAAGAAATATAGATGAGGCAGCTGCATTTATAAGCCTAAAATTTTGGAGACATGTTCAGGATGGAGATATAAATTTGGCATACATTGCCAGTCATCAGCCCATTGACGGTGTATCACCTAAGAAAAGAATGGAGAGAGAGATGTTTATGAAGTGTTTCTCATTTCCCACTTCCCACTTCCTGACTTGTCCAGAGACTGTAAGTCAGAACCTCTCCTTGGACAGACTCTTTTTTTTTTTTTTTTTTTTTGAGACGGAGTCTCGCTCTGTTGCCCAGGCTGGAGTGCAGTGGTACAACCTTGGCTCACTGCAACCTCCAACTCCCGGGTTCATGCGATTCTCCCGCCTCAGCCTCCTGAGTAGCTGGGACTATAGGAGTAAGAAGCAGGTCTTCTGAATGGAAGTATCTCTCAGTGCAGGTTCCATGCTCTCCATAAGCCACCAAGCTGCCTCAAACACAAAAAATCCTTCAGAGCTGAGTCTTCCAGAAAGAGATATTTACACTTTGCAGAGAAAGAAACATATGCACATACACACGATACGTCTATATCTGTATGTAGATATAAGGACACTTGGATTTTTTAAAAAACAATATGTTATATAATTTCCTGCATTCCTAAATAATGAATAATATTTAATAATTCCTCCATACTTTTATTTTATGTCTGCTCTGTGCCTCGCATTGTGTCAAGAGCAGTGTTTTGAACTTATATTTGAATTAACTGTTGTCCTCCAAAACTCTTAAGGGTTTGCAATTTAATTGAAGAGAGATAAGCTACAGGCTGCTCTATGATCACCTGATCCCCAATGTGATGGTATTTGGAGACAGGGCCTTTGAGAGGTAATTAGCTCATGACAGTGGAGTGCTCATGACGGGATTAGTGTCCTTCTAGGAGACAGGAGAGAGCTTGCTTCTTTTCTCTCTGCTCTCAGTTATATCAGGAAATAGCCAGGAAGAGGGCCTTCACCAGAACCTGACTAGCCTGGTACCTTGATCCCAGACTTCCATCTTACAGAACTGTGAGAAATACACATCTGTTACTTAAACCAACCAGTCAGTGGTCTCCTGTTAGAGCAGCCTGATTAGTTCAGACATACACATGTATATATAAAACAAGGAGAGATCATATTAAGAGGAATAAGATACTCCTTTTTAAATGTTAAAGGCCTTCTAATTTGCAAGTCTTTTTCCCGTGTATAATTTCATTTGCTCTTTACAATAATTACCACTATTTAGCAGATTAAAAAAAAAATAAGGCTGGGAAAATTTCAATATTTGTTGACGATTACACAACTAGTAGATACCAAAGCTGGGAAATAAAACCCAGGTTCAAATCCAAGATTCCCTCTGGTAAAGTGAGGCTGACTCTTTATAGGAACAAGCTTCTCTCCTGTTCTCCAGGACCTCTGAGGAAGGAGATCTCACTCCCTTCTTCCGCACCCAGGAACCTCACTCCTTTATAGGAATGAAATTCTGGTGTTCATTTCTGCTAAACTGCACTCGTGGATTTGGCTGAGTGATGCCTGAGGCTGGGGGTGGCGGGCAAGAGAATGTGTGTGCCGTGCAGCTCCTGCCAGCCCTGCAGAGCTGGCATTTTCTACAAGAATGCTTGCTTCTCAGAAACATTGTTGATAATGAGGTTGCTCATTTTTAAAATGCTGTAACTGATATTCTGGGAAAACAAACCTGGTTCCAGAAGTGCAGTCGTGGTGTTTGGGTTTAAGGTTGGAGGCGGTTGTTTAAGATGAGCTTTCAGCTGGCCTGCCGACCTGTCAGTGGACTGCAATGGGGCGGCACAATCAGGCCATTGTACTAACAGAAATCTCAGGGCTCTTCAGAGTCTAAGAGGATTGTGCGAATTCCTGAACCTGGCACCTACTAAAGGGGACTTTTCACCTCTTGGGACCCTGGTAAAAATGAAGAGAGAGACAGAGAGAGCTTCAAATCAAAGGAAATAAGCCAGGGATTACACGAAATCCCCTCTAGCCCCAGTCAGACTTGGAGGACATGCAAATGCATTTGAACTGAGGAAGACTATTTGGGACCCCTGGGAAGCAGGGTGGCACAGAGCAGTTTCCTGGCCTCGGAGAGGATGCAATTTTCCAAGATGCGAGGTTTGCTTGTGCATCTCCATGTGCAGGGCAGGGGGCTCAGTACAGTAATAACCAAAGAGTCACACACCATAGGCAGACCCCTGGCTCTGCTTGGAGGCCCAAAGATTCAGAGCTGGGCAGATCATCAATAGGCCATCTGGACCAAGCCCCTGTCTCCTGAACTACATTCTTTCCATCATACCTCTCACTCCATGTCTATTTGCTCAGTATTGAATGAGAAAGGAAATGAATGTTTACTGCATCTAATCATGTGCCAGGTGCTTCATTTAATTTATAATGGAAATCACAGAGTATGATAACAGTCAACATTTATGAAGAATCTAGTAGGTGCAGGCATGAGTCTAATCATTGGATATACGTTAACTTATATTTTATTCTCACAGTAGCCCCAAGTGGTAGGCTGCGGTGAGTATCTGAGACAGAGGCACAGAGAAATGTTCTTAGCCAGCAAGCAAAAGAGCTGAGATTCCCCCCAGAAGGCTGTCTGACTCCAGAGACCTCCTCTTTGCCTCAAGTCAAGCCTACAGCCCGAATCAGATAAGGTTCTCTGTCTCCAGTCTGGACACATGGTCCCTTTTGAAATTGTTCCAGAACAAGTTTCTTCCTCTTTTCCCACCTGACAATTCCTCTAACCTTCCACTCCAGGGTTCATCTGAAAGTCCTCAAAGACAGCATCTCTTAGCATTACATTGCTAAAGGTTTTAAAAACCTGCCAGTCCTTGAAAGTTTACCAAACCTGCTGAACCAATTGGTAAATAGTGGTGACAACATCGGCTGTATTTTAAAAAGTTGGCATACATTATACTCAACACTTCTGTTTGTTCTGTGTTCTGCTTTTCATTGGTGCTTCATATTCTACGAAATCTAATTTAGTAAGTCTTTTCTTTGTGAACTATATATGTCAACTGATAGAAAGTAGATCCATTCTCAAGGAGATAATCATAGTCTGGAGCTAAAGAAGAAACATCTTTACAAAACGCAAACATGAACATGGTAACCTTTGGTTTGCAAATTACCTGGAGATTTTTTAACCCTTTGGGATCTTGTTTCTCGCTCACCATCTCATCAGTCTGGACAGTCTTGCCCTGGAGGCTCCAGGCACAGAATCACAGTGGCAGGAGCTCTTCTGGGGTGACTGTGCCTTGCACACACAGCTCCCTGAACACATTCAGACTGAGCACCACATTCCTTCTACCTGGCTAACGCCTGTGAATCTTCCAAGGCACCATCACCCCCTCCAGGAAAAATACTTTCACCAGAGAGCATCTGGGAAGTCAAGTCCACTTCCTAGAGGTTCCCCTGTACCCTGGGTCTACTACCTGTTTCCCGACACCCATCACCTCCAACTGTTATCGGCCGAGTCCTGATGACACTGTGAATTCTTTGAGACAAAGACTATACTCCTTTGACTCTATATCCTCAGAGTCTTGATACCATCCTGGCACATAGCAGAAGCTCAAAAATGCTTGATGAGTGAAGGATACATGTTTATAAACCCACTGTTTAAACAGAGATTGTTTTAGGGTTTTAAAAGGACCCAGGTATATGAACCCCCTTTGTAAATCACCCCAAATCAAATACAATGTTCACAATAACATACAAGGATGGGCTTCATCAAACTAATTCAAATGCATAGCTGCAGCTGGTTCTTTGCTTTTATTTTAGTTTTTCGAATTGGGTAGATTATTTTATGGGGGCGATGTTTTGGAGTACTGTGGTACGATGTTCTGCACCATAAAGAAATATTAGTGTTTAGAAGTCAGAAATTGAGTCTGACTCTGAACTACACCAAAGTGCATGCATGTAGGCTGTGCACTGACCACAGAATGCAAATACTGAGCCGTTATAATATATCTAGATATACACAGGTAGGTAGATAGCTAGATACAGATACAGATATAGATAGATATAGATGTAAACACAGATAAAGATATTGATATGTAGACAGATAACTGGATATAGTTTCTTGTTATATACAGAGGATGGTCTTGATCTTAGTTTTAATACTGAAGATACAGACAATGATTAGTGAACTCATAAATTAGAGTCATGTTTATTTAATTTCTGGCAAATAAAATTATGATATATTTGTTGAATCCAGTTCTCTTAGTATATTACATTTATTAGCCACCCCCTCCTCCACATGCCCCAGAGTGTGAATTTAGGTTTCAAAAGCCTTTGTTAAGTTTTGGAGATCACTCTAGTCTATGGATTGTTTTTATTGGTTTGGTTCCATACAGACCATTCTCTAATTTTACCTTCATATGTGTTGAGTTAGTGAATCTATGGGCAGGGGGACCAAGGGAGGAGACCTGAATCCAGATAGGAGAGGGCCAGAATAGAAACAGGAAATTAAAAGTAGAAAAGTGTAGTGTGTGTGTGTGTGTGCGCGTGTGCGTGTGTGTGTGTGTGTGTGTGTAGAAAAGGGAGGAAAAGCCACAATCAGGAAACCCAGATCTTTCCTCCCTCTGCCTCTCCAGCCTTGGAAATTCTGTCTGAAATACAGCTGGCATTCACTTCTTATATACTGAGCCTCGTGACCTTGGCTGGTACCCATGTCCACACTACATTTATGGCATCCAAATTGCTAATTTGATGTTGAAGTGGATGGAGGGAGGAGGGAGGAATTAAAGGATGGGAAGGGAAAAAAATACCCCAAACTGCAAAAGTTAAATTTCCGGCCAGGTGGCTTCCAAATCATCCAGCAGCTTTATTCAAGGCTTTGAAGTCTTGAGCCAAACAGTTCCAGATCTTCAATATTTACTCTACAGTCTCCAAAAACAAAAGTTGACTGTGTTCCTTGAAGTCAATCTCACCAGCATTTCAGGATGACAGTTGGGAGAGGCTGAAAAAGAGTTATTGGATGACCTGGAACTTCTTGGTAAGCATTTGTTATGCTTGGCTCTCTCTCTCTCTCTCTCACTCACTCAACACACACAGACACACACACACACATTTTTATTGTTTTCCTTTTATTTTTATTTTTATTTGAGACAGAGTCTCACTCTGTTGCACAGGCTGGAGTGCAGTGGTGCGATCTTAGCTCACTGCAACCTCCGCCTCCCAGGTTCAAATGATTCTCCTGCCTCAGCCTCCTGAGTAGCTGGGATTACAGGTGCGCACCACCATGCAGTAATTTTTGTATTCTTAGTAGAGAGGGGGTCTCACCATGTTGGGCAAACTGTTCTCAAATTCCTGACCTCATGATCTGCCCGCCTAAGACTCCCAAAGTGCTAGGATTACAGGCATGAGCCACCACGCCCAGTCTCTTGTTTTCCTTTTAAGCTTACCCTACCTTCCAGGTAGGGTAGGGTAGGAACTTCCATCAGTTCCTACTCTGCCCCCAACCCAGTCATCTGTTGCATTATTCGTCATGTATATCAAGAACTCACCCTGGAACAGCAATGGCTAACCCAGTTCGCTAGGCTAAATTCCTTTAACCCAGCAGTTGAACTCCGCCACTTACACCCATGGACTAAGCCCAAAGAAATAAAGGTAGAGCCAGTCCTGCAGGTATGGTAGAATCTCTATCTAGCTATGGAAGTACGCAGGGCAGACCTTTGGGAATAGGAAATGGGTGATGGGCGAACATAAAATTCTGAAACTGAAACATATTCAGGAGGCAAAGACTCCATCCCAGTCCAGCCTTGATGAGTACTTGTCATTTACTTTTCTCCTCACTATCACCACCCTTCTTTGTTTCTCCAAACCCCACTCATTGTTCAACGTTCTCAATGGTAGGTATCACCATCAGAGTCACTCAGTGAATATATACTGAGAACCTACCATGTGCCAGGCACTGTTCCAGGCTTGAAGCTAACAAAGTGCTGGCCCTGCTAGAGCTCATGTTCTAGGAGTGCGGGACAGACAATAAACAAACAAATAAATAAATAAATCTTCAGTGTGTTGGATGTGGTTCATGGTATGGCTAAAACACTGCAGGGTACAGAGGAAAGACAGAGGGGGAGCAGGGGCAATATTTGTCATATGGGCAGAGAACAGAAAAAGATGAAGGAACAAAGGAGAGGCTGTGTGAAAGAAGAGCCTTCCAGCAGAGCCAGAGCAAACGCCCTGAGGTGGGAGGGTGTGGCTTGGCCAACAGGCAGTAACAAGGCAGGTTGGCCGTGCCAGAGGGGACAGGCGGGAAATGATGCAAAGCAGAATCACAGAGAGCTTTGGGAGGACTCTGATTCTCCTCTATGTGAGATAGGAGCCTCTGGTGAGTTTTGAGCACATGAGTAATGTGATCAGGCTCATGTCAGACTTTGAGATGCAATGTTGAGAACACACTCTGACTATTAAGGGGAAGAGCTAAAGCAGCCAGACCAGAGTCTTCTTCATCCATCCACACTTAGAGGGAAAGAGATAATGGTGACTTGGACTAGGATGAAGATAGTAGACATTGAACTCTGGAAGTTCTTTGAGGGTAGAGCCAACTGATATACTTGCTGATGAATTAGATGTGAAGAATAAGAGGTGTCAGGGATGACTCCCAAGTTTTTGGCTTTCACAGCTGAATTGAGAAACTAATTTCTTCATCTGTGCTCTCAATTACTTTTCTTAATGTTAATATCATAACATGTTAGTAACAATTGTGCATGTGGGCATCTATCCCACTAGATGCACTGTCTCTTAACTTTCAAAGGTCTTTTGGTAGACTGGGACTCTACTGAAAGCTGTGGACTCTTGCCAATGAGGAGATAAGTACACATACACAAATTCATGCACACATTTACATCTTGAAAAGGTTTTACTTCTCCCCCCAAGTTTGCCCATAGAACCCTTGAGTTGTTCATGGATCCAAGATTAAAAGATTCAGGCACTAGATTTATTTGTTTTTAAAATACATTATTATGTATTTTACATTATTATGGAGCACCTGGGACATGACAGATATAATGGGTGACCAAAAATATCTAGGCTCTTTTCTCATGGAGACTGTCATCTGATGCAGGATATAGACAAGATGTTAGTAAACAAACAAGTAAATGATTATAATTTATAAAAGGAGCTATGGAGAAAAAAACAAAGCAGGGTGACATAACCTACTATAATATAGTATAAAAGAAAACAGAAACCATCCAGGTCCCATAAACAGAGGAGATTAATACAAGGAATTTGTTGAACACATGATGGAAAGAACAGAGGGTAATGAGAACAGAGACGAGCAACATAAGAAGCCCACTACCAATCCCAAGTTTGGAGGGGAAGTCAGAAGAGGGGGTACTGCTAGAGCTCAGACACCTAGACTATCTGGAAGCTAGAATCGAAGAAGGGGTGCTGCTTCATGGCAGTGAGGACTAGAAGCGAGGGCTTGTCTACTGGAGATGCAACCAACTCAGAGTACGAAAGAGTAAAGTACTCTGGCTCTTCCCCTCCTCCCACTCTCCAGTTTTCTAGTAGTGCCTCCCCTTGACTAAATCTGGCCAGAGCTAGTTCCCTGTGATTCAGAGCAGAACAGGAGAGAAACAGAAATGGATCCAAGAGCAATCAGGTGAGCAGCTGACACACAGGGGGCCCTACTTAGAAAGAGTGGTCACCTAGTGCCACTCTAAGAAACTGAAATTTAAGTTGACATTGGCTGAATCAGAAGATGAATATCAAGGGAGAGAACATTCCAGGTGGAGGGAATTGTAACAGAACGTTCCCGAGATGTTAAAAAGCTCTGTGTCTTTGGGAGTACAAGGCCTCACTTAAGGCCAGTCTGGCTGAACAGCTATCCCATTCTTTACACAATCAGAGGAGGAGGTTAGGCATACGGCTATTTTTCCATAACCACCTGCCAGGTGGCATATTGCCATGGAAGCAAGCTTCAGACCAAATTCCACTGGATGCCCACACATTTATCAGTTGAGCCTACAGAAAGCCAGTCCTACCACCTGCTCTGTCCTTTGGGGTACCCCACAAGGACCTTGCCTGAAATGTGAACTTTGAGGTAAAGGCAAAAATATTCCAACACCAAGATTTATTGTCAGGGTCCTCTGCTAAGCGAAGGCACGCAAGGCCAAATGGAGTTGTAGGCTAAGGAGGTGACTCAGAAAGTCCTGGATTGCTGGGCTTGCCAGGTTCTTGTACTTCATTTATGCAAAGGCAGAGGAGTTACACAACCTTTCAGCCATATATCTTTTATTTCATCAATGAAACGTTATTTCTAATATCACTCATACTAATTAATATACCTTCTAAAGCATATTCAGAAATTGATATTTAGAGTACATGCTGAGGCCATTTCTGAAGCATGGATTCATTATTAGGGCAATTTAAATATAATCTAGCTGCCCCTAGATTGTAGATGGAAACTAACCTGCACACTCAGATAACATCACACTGTTTATATGGAAGCACAGTAAAGTTAATTACAGACAATGAAACAGAGGGGATGAAAGGTACCAGTGCTGTTGGAGTTTCGTTGGTAAAGAGGAGAGTAGATTGACAGGAGGCCGCAGAAGGGAGAAGGGGCTAAGTCTCATAGGCCATCTTAAAGGATTTGCATCTCATTCAAACTGCATTGCAGGACTTTGAACAGGAGGTAACATAATCTGATCATGCTCACTGCTTTGTGAAGAATGGATGACAGAGGAGGGAATGTGACACCAGGTCACTGAAAGTGTTGGAGTTACTGGCATCAGCCCATCATGGTGGCAGTATAGATGGAGAGAAATGGAGACAGATGAGCTGTGTTTTGAAGATGGAAACTGAGGAATTGTGTCAGTCTGTTTTGTGTCACTACAAAGGAATATGTGAGGCTGAGTAATTTATAAAGACAAGAGGTTTATTTTGGCTCACAGTTCTGCAGGCTGTACAAGCATGGCACCTGAATTTGCTTGGCTTTCCCTGAGACCTCAGGGAGCTTCCAATCATGGCCAAAGGTGAAGAGGAAGCAGGTGCATCACCTGGTGAGAGAGGGAGCCAGGAGGGCGGAAGAGGTTCCAGGTTCCTTCCAAACAACCAGCTCTCACGTGAACTAACAGAGCAAGTACTCACTCATCACTGAGGGGATGGCAACAGGCCATTCATGAGGGATTCACCCCCATGATCCAAAACCTCCCACCAGGCCCCACCTCCAACACTGGAGATCACATGTCAACATGAAATTTGGTGGGGACACACATCCAAACCATATCAGGAATGAGATTGGATAAGTCTGGGATGGTGGTAAGGGAAAGCTTGGAATCAAGAATGGCTCCCTGGTTTGTAGCTGATGTAGCTAGCCAGAGAATGGTCTGTTTTACTAAGACGGGAGAGGCATAAGCGAGAAAAAGATTTGGTGGTGAAGTGGAAAAAGGGAGGTCAAAAAGCTTTCATTTTATACATTTTAATTTTGTGACACAAAAGCAAGGAACACACGCTTGTCTTATTTATCTATGTATCCACCTGCATGGCCTTGACTGGGGCTTAGTACACGTCTGAGTAATTAGAAAGAATAGGCATGCTATTACTTTTGTCACTTATCTTAGTGACACCTTCCTCTCTTTCTCCCTCTCCCTACTCCCCTTTCTCTTTATATATATAAAATAGCACTTCAATTTCATATGGTGGTTCAAATCATCAAAGATAAGGTAAACCAACAATATAATACATTTTAGACAGAATTAAAGGTCCTGTAAGGCTTGAGTTGCAAGGGTGACACCGACAAAGAAATTAGAAATCAAATGAGCCCAAGTAAATGCAGTTTGGGGTCTGGATGAAAGAATGCATCCCAAGGAATCTCACGTCTCTGAGATAGATAAATGGGCTTCCGTTCCAACTGAAGACCATTAATGCATTTCCCTTTTGCAATGCAGGTGATGCCATTGCAAATGCTATCATTCCTGTGGGTAGATGTGGCTATAATTTTCTCATCTG